CATGCAAGCGGAGGGGCAAGAGTGGCTAGAATAGATTCTGCAACCTTCTCCGCTTGTTGGATAAAAATGTCAAGCCTCCGCATACATGCATCTCCCCTCCACCCTCCCGTGAAATGTCGATTTTCGAGATTAAAAAAAAAACAATAATTGCATTTTTTATTTCAATAACGCATGAGTAAATAGGGATATGAACGCAGATTTAATATAGGCCCATAGAATTACGGGGACCGGCAAGGATTTGGAAAGTCTGAATGCAAGTCCTGCTTACACTTAACAAGTGCTGAAGTGGGACATAACCAGAGGTAGAAAGGTCTCGGAAGCACTTGGGAAGAGGCTTCCCAAGACCTATCCAGTTCTGAACGGAGAGACCTAAGTAGAATTTGTCAGGTCCAATTATTCGACTCGGGGGTGAGATTCAACAAATATAATTCTCCGTGTGAAATGCAAAGTTAGTCATCTGGATTTGGAAAAGTATCGGAGTAAACCATTGCATCTCCTACACTGCAGAAACTGGGTGTTTGAAAACCGTCTGACTTTAAGATGTAAGATACTAGGAAAATATCTGCATGATTCAAAGTCTTTGAAAAATTTACTGACGTCTGAACATTTCAAACGCAAATGGTGTCTGAAAGTGATTGCGACATTTTTTTGCGACTGCAAAATTTTAGTGATTCATTGTCAAATGTTTCTCGCATGTGGAACTATTTGACTACTAATTAATTTCATCATTAGTGATTAATTTCACTATTAATGACTATTTTATTATTAATTAATTTTACTATTAGTAATGCACATCCAAAAATACTTTTTTCAGATTATTCTCGTATCTGAATGCTGCTAAACAAGGACAACTTCAAATTCGGCACATTTTTCTCACACAGAGTTCATGCAACGCCCCCTCCCTCATGTGGACTTAATGTGTTTTCATGTCTATGATGGAATTAATATAAAACTGAACCTCCCTTGATTTAATTCACACCTAAAACTTTTCTTTCCAAGAAAATAAAGAAAAATTCACCACGTTTTCAGGGACCAAAGGTGTCTCAAATATTACGATGCTTCGATGAATCCAGAGGCGTTTCAATGTCCGAAGAATGTCTTTAAAGCTGTCACAAAAGTATTTGAGGAGTGTTTGGAATTCGGACACCAGTTTTTCCAGCGCTCGAATTCTGAAATGCGAGGACTAAAGAAAATTCCCTCTCGGATGGAGATTCAAGCTGCATCAGTTCTCCACCCCCGCATAATTGTTCGACCGATATATGCATCCAGACAATCGGCACTCTTCGAAAACCCTTACAAACCCCCCAACTTGAACATTGTTGTCAGCTGAAGAGTGCCCCCTCCCCCAGATGAAAATAAAGGATAATAATAAAAAACTTGGTACACGACCGCATATATACAGAGAGAAGAGAGACATGGTGATGCGTGACCCGAAGTGAAACATAGGAGAAGAGCCCCGACGAATAAGTTGGATACGCTTGCGCAATAGTATGAGAGGAAAACGCCGACGTATTCGCCAGTCGGGTCTTTAACTCCGGACCGCGTATATCGTGCACTTCGGGAGTCGTGCTTCAGCATTCAAACTGATCGCGATAGCAGCAAGTCTAACACCCACTTGCTCTTCGTTATCATTGTTTACCTCTCCGCCCACTCCTAATCAAATTACCATTCCCAATCCAACAAAACATTTCAATTAATACCGGACATGCCTGATATATCTGCTTATGTCAATAATTAATTATCAAAATTTAATGAAAATACACAGTGCAGTAAATTCGGTAACAGTTAATTGGAGGTTCATCGGAGGCTGACGAAAATTTGCACTGTTACGTATACCCCTCGTTACGTGGAAATGATTTTAATCCATTCGTGTGGATCATTCATACCAATGTGAGCCTGAACGTAATTGGAAGCCACAAATACAATTCGAATTGCTGCCGAAACACAGTGGGAAAAGTAGGTCGTACATTAAACGCGGTTAGAAATTGGTTTGGATGGATATATCGGCAAGTTATTCACTACTTCCCAACGGTTAATTGTATCAATAAGACTCATTAGCAACTACCTGAAGATCAGTGTGTTTATTCACCAAATCATACACGTTGAATATCCCAATGCTCTGAGCTACTGACCTGGGATCGCTGGGAAATTCAGTATTAAATACATCTCCGCTTGAAACAACAATAAATACATCCGGCATCCCCGGCATTGCTCCCCAGAATTTCATCGCTTTGGAATCCACGAGATATGTTACAAGCACGCTCGCGTTAAGGCAATTGCTGTTTGCCTGCGGCACCGAGTGAAGGAAAAAATTTTAGTTGTGCATTGTTTTTCGTACCTCTTATATCTTCAGAAAATTCAAAACGAAAACATTCCTTCGTCACGGATGGAGATCACTGAATAATTCAAATTCTAACGTCGACAACGTCAGTTGTTCGGGAGAAGCTGAAGACGAAAGCAGGAGAATACCTTTACGACTGTGCTCTGCATATGAAAATACACCCCAGGGAGTTGTGTAAAACTCGATAAAACTGGCCCGTCATCGTTTTCCCGTATTTTCGTATCAAATTCAGAAGAAGGGTTTTCCACGATCAACTTTAGTACACCATCCCAAAGACGTGGTACCCAGCTATTTCGACACGCCATGCAAGATCCCAGGGTTTACGAATGACATGTCCCCCCGGGACTCGTGTCCGATCAAGATAAATTGAACTCTGTGTACACGAGAGGTGCATCGATCAAGAATGAAGGTGCAATATTAAGAAGACATACAAGGAATCCCGGTGCACTAGGGACAAAAAAGCTTGATGGAGTGAAATTGATTGCGCAAGTGTCTGGAATTCGCTCGAAATTTGTTGAAATGATAATCAACTTTCCAAGCATCATGATTTGAAGGACACTACTCATCTCCAATCCGCGTTTCATCTCTCGCTATAACATGACATGTCCTCCTGGGACTCCTGTCCAATCAAGATACATTGAACTTTGTGCAGACGAGAGTGAAGTTGATTGTGCAAGTTCCCCGAATTCTCCCGAAAATTGTTGAAAAATCCGGATGAAGTTCCCAGAGAAGCACCTGAAATCGGCGAGCTCTCACGGTTTGAAGAACCCACCTTTTCATATGTAATTCTTGTTTCATCTTTCGCTATCAACCGCGAACTGGTAATCAAAGTTTCCGAATGACATGTTCTCCTGGGACTCGTGTCCGACCGAGATAAATTGAACTCTGTGTGGAGGAGAGACACATCGATGAATATTGAAGGTGCAATATCAAGAAGACATACAGGAGAATAAAAACTAGGCTATACTGAAGCTAATTCTGCAAATTGTTGAAAAAACCAGATAAATTTACCATCGCAACTGCTTTGAATCTTGAAGAAGAGAAGCACCTGAAAAGACATCATATGAAAATCACTTCTTTTCATATCGAATTTTTATTTCATCTTTCATGATCACCCGTGAACCGATACTCAAAGTTTACGGATGACTTGTCTTCCTGGGACTTGTGTCCGATCTAGATAAATTGAACTCTGTGTCGATGAGAGGTGCATCGGTCAATATTGAAGGTGCAATATCAAGGAAACATACAGAAGAAAAAAACTACAGTGTTGTGAATGCTGCAAGTTGTTGAAAAACCAGAGAAACTTAACACCAACGAAGCACCTGAAGCGGACGAGGCCTCATCATATGAAGGACAGTCTTTCTCATATCTCATTCCTGTTTCATCATTCGTGATCATCCGTGAACCGATGTTCAAAGTTTACGCATAACATGTCTTCCTGGGACTTGTGTCCGATCTAGATAAATTGAACTCTGTGTGGACGAGAGGTGCATCGGTCAATATTGAAGGTGCAATATCCAGGAGACATATAGAAGAAAAAGACTATAGTGTTGTAAATTGTGCAAGTTGTTGAAAAACCAGATAAACTTACCGCCAACGAAGCACCTGAAGCTGACGAGGCCTCATCATATGAAGGACACTCTTTCTCATATCTCGTTCCTGTTTCATCTTTCGCGATCATCCGTGAACCGATGTTCAAAGTTTACACATGACATGTCTTCCTGGGACTTGTGTCCGATCTAGATAAATTGAACTGTCTCGACGAGAGGTGCATCGGTCAATATTGAAGGTGCAATATCAAGGAGACATACAGGAGGAAAGAGACTATAGTGCAGTGAATTGTGCAAGTTGTTGGAAAAACCGATAAACTTACCACCGCAACTCCTTTGAATCTTCAAGAAGAGAAGCACCTGAAAAGGCAGCGACATCATGATTTGAAGAGCACTCCCCTTCATCTTCAATTCTTGTTTCATCTTTCACTATCACCCACAACTTGATATGCCAGGGGCAAGCTAATTAATCACCGTGCACTAACGAGCTACCCGGGTATCTCCGCGGTCTCACGGACCCCCACCTCCTTAACGACACCCACGAGAGCTTTAACTTGCAACGTCGGTGCTTGTGTATGTGGTACATAGAGAAACTGATCTTACGTTAGAAAAGAGGGCAACCTCCTGCAGCACAGAAACAAAGTCATTCCAATGGACATTTGTATCAACGAGTTATGATGCTTTTGGTATTGGTAGCATCGATTACTCGATAACAAGCTTTTAGCCTTTTCTGACCGAAGCTTACGGCTCACCAGTGTGTATGTAGACCACGTTTTCAAACGCTGAATTGAGGACTCTTGATGGTATCCGGTGAAATTGAGTTTGACTACGTTCAATTCCACCACACTATTTGCTGTACAATCCAGTGACATTCGCTAAATTGAAGTATATGGATGATACATTTTATCAAATTTCAATCATGATGATATTGTGCGCATTTAAATACTTGAAATAATTACATCTGAAGAATTATTGAAAAGTACAAAATACTAAATAGAGTTAAAAGCCAATTAATTTGCTTTGACTGTGTACACATCAATAAGCATTGAGGCTCGTCAAATACCCTCTGAAGAGAGAATAATTGAGCACTCGAAATGGCATAATCCAGCGATTCAATACACATGTGTAACGAAAGCATCTGGGTTATGGCATGAGGACATTATCAGTGAAAGCAACCTGCGGGCCCAGCGAGGTGGAGGATGAGGATGGTGATGGGTGTCATGGTGCTGGGTCAGCTTTTGATGAGGATCCTGTTGGCTGCTCATGCCGTAGATCGGCTGGCAGCTGCCCGCAGGATACTTCGAGACGTCCCTCTCATAGATGGGTAAGCGTTAATGGATAATACACTCATAGTTCTGAACTATTCATCCCGTGACGGGAGAGGATTAAGTTATGAAAAGTTGAATGGGTTTAATAAAGTGAGTTTAATACAGGGATGGTGTGAAAAATAATGTCATGGGCTGTGGAGCTCCTTAAATGGTTGCCACAAGGAAAATATTACCAATAAAGCATGCGCATTTATACAATATCGCGGGCCACCCTTTATTTTTAAGGAGTACTACCCTCGTGGTACTTCACGAACTCGTGCTATAGTCGGGTTATATCAACCACGGTGTAAGCCCGCCGCGAAATATCGCTTATGATAATGAAAAAGTCGGCAACATACGTCGAGAGGGGGATCTTGGCTTAACTTTTGCGGTTTTGCTTCCGAGTGGAAGCATTGTAATCGTTGAAATTTACGTTTCGGATTTTTTGTTTTATTTTGTTTTACAGTTCGAATATTCTATTTTTATATTCTATATATTCGGATTTATGTGTGTATGTGTGTACACTCTGGAAAACGATTTATTTGAATAAATAACAAAAATTTAGTTTAATTACATCAAATAAATAAGTTTATTTAAAAAATTTTATTCAGAGTTTTGTTTATATTAAATAAATGTTGCTTTACTATTAATAACTCTTATTTTGAATCAAATTCGAAGATGAAGGCGATCTATAATCGTTGTTTCAATTTTTAGAATAATTTTCAAACATTTTGTATTTTATAAGAATTACAATTCCGGGGATATCTTTAGATATCATGTTCTAAATTCATTCCATATTATAGATAGCATCATTCTTCCAATCGCTTTATAAACAAATTTCGGAAATTATTCTCATAGCATTCAAAGGGTGGTTGATTTTCCATCTTTTGGAAAATTTACTTCCACACGGAGAAATTTTTGATAAAAATTACCCTACCGTTCTATAAAGATTTATCATGAGTCATCATCTCCTCATTTCTGTCCCGAAATTTAGTAAACATTAATATATGATGATCAAATTTTATTCTACATTGGAGAAATTTTATCCTGACGCATATTAAATTTTACCCTTCCAGTCCAGTAATTTTTATTTTTATCAGGATAAAATTTCTCTAACGTAGAATAAAATTTGATCATCATATATTAATTTTTACTAAATTTCGGGATAGAAATGAAGAAACGATGATTCATGATACACTTTTACAGAACGGTAGGATAATTTTTGTCAAAAATTTCACTCCGTGCACTGATTATTTGAATAAAAAAAAGAAAGTTCAAAATTGATTCAATTATTCACTTCCATCGCCTAAATGGAGGGTATAATTATGTATTACTTCATATTTGAAATTTCAGCAAATATTAAATTAAATTAAAAATGTAACACAATTGACTGAACGAGAAATTTCTTTGAATTTAATAGAATAATATGATATGATGTGCACAGCGACCATTCAGAAACATATTGCCACTTTATTAGAAAAAAAGTTGACTATATTAATATAAAATATATTTCTCATTTGTTTATTTTGATTCGCTTCGGAAATATGCTCGACAACACAGTTCACAGACATGCTTTTTTTCACGGCTTTCCCTACACACTTCGAATATCCGATGCGCCTCTTCCTCTCTGCGTACTTGGTCATGCATGCTTCGCATCCAGGATCTTTTTCGGGGCTTTGTGCAACTACGGTGTATCGACGTCCTCTAGCACAAATAAGTTCACCAGATCAGAAAGCCGACGAATTCGTCCTTTGTCGAGTAAAATTGCATCCTTTCTTCCCTATTTTTGGGATTCTCGGGGGGATTTCTGGTGAATAAAATCGTTTTTCTACTGCGAACTCGATGATCCGGGGGATGGAGTTGAGAAAAATTGCTTCGTAAAGCTCTGGTTTGCATCTATGCGGTGGGATTGAACGGAGAAGAGTGGGTTTAATATCTTGATGATATACGTCGATGCCATTTTCATCTTGAAAACAATTCATGAATTTTCCGGGTTTATGCGCGTTGGCAATAAAAATAACCATCATAACTTTCTACTTTGGAGTAATGTCTTTTTATGCCCTGCAGCTGGAATTGAATGCGACGAGGAAGATGGACTTTTAGTTCCACGATTGTAAACATGTTTTTATCGGGACTCTGCGTCGCTCTGGGTATACCTACAGATGATTCTTTCCTAAGTGAATTTTGCGATTATTTCAGACACCTGAATGGAGGGACCGGGAGGCGAAGTAATTTTAATAGTTGGTTTGTCATTTCCATTTGATCGCAAAACGATTTCAATGGGACATTGACCAATTTTGGGTTCTTTGCTGCTGAAGACGATTGGAATTTCATGGAGAGGTGTAATCAGGAGAGCGACTTGAAATTCGATTTAGAAGAAACGGCTCGTAAAATTTAACGTTCTGAGTAGAATTTCACAGAGAGGAAAAAAGTTTCCATTTTCAGGGACCAGTTATTTGTTTTCAGAAATTTATTCCTGATTATCAGGGATTCACGATTGTGAAAATGATAGTGAGCGCAAAATTCTGAAATTTAGGGATTTTGTTATCAATTTTTAATGACATTATCATTCGTCTCCAGTGATGTCGTCATCAATTTTTAAAGTAGTATCACTGATTTTTAGGGAAACATCGGTAATTTTTAGGAATCAATCAGCAAATTTCAGTAATGGAAAAAATTATTTTTGTCAAGTATTCATTTAGTTGAGAGAAGTATTTATTTTTCGAATCATTAGGTTTCAATTACGATAATTATATTGTTCTAGCAGATGATCATGTTAGTAATGACCTTCAATGAATTTGCTCAATAATTATCAGCATTGAAAAATTAATGGAAATTCTTCCTCCTAAAAAAATAAGAAAAGAAAAAAATGAATAATCGTTCGATGTCATAGTCATCCTCTAGGGCAACATAATTGTCATATTTGAAATCTAATCAGACTCGCACGTGTAACACATTTTTTCTCAGCGCAGAATCGTTGCTTTTTCATTTCTTCAATAATTTTGTGGTGACTGTCTCTACTATGCCTCTGTCTAGATACGAAAAATTCCCAAGGAGCATTTCCCCGATTTTATCCAAATTCATAAAAGCACTCCATAAACCTCATTCCCAAATCCGCGACCTTTGATTCCCTTTAATTCCCTTGGAAAAATCAAGAACCTTCGTCCAGGTCATTCTCGAACAATTTTAAATATTGTAAATACAAGGAAAACTCAACTTAAATATAAAACAAAATCTTCGCTGTACAACTGGCCTTCTGGATTCGTCATTACAACCTGCTCACCTCCACGATTTTTTTGTCAAGATGTTCATCAGCATAATTTTAAGAAAAAATATCTGATATCATGTGATACTCGATGTTCATGTTAGCCTTTAGAAATATTAAAAGGTTACGCTCACAAAGACGTCACATACTCGTGAATGAGAAAAAGACCGAGTGAAAAAGCTCAGCGGTATGACTGATGTGAAAGACAAATTTGCAAGATTAACCAACGCTAAGGGACTGAATGATCTGAAAGGCGGAGCGATGCCCCTCCCCCTCGACTTTCTCCAGCATTCGATGAAAAGCGCTTATTCCAGCACCAAGAGTGAAAGCAAAAACCTCAGAGAGACACAGCAAGTTCAAAAAAAAGAGTGGAGGGGCTTGGATGCAAGAAGCATCAGTGAAAAATACGAGATATAGTCCGAAGTGGTTTTATTTTTCCCAACGATCGATGTGTGCAACGCATCCTGTACAGGGAGATATGAAATGCGGCCGTCACCACGTTCTTCCCAAGTAAATCGCTTCGTTGGTAGTCATAGCACTTTTTCATCGTTTGTAAAACTACGTATCTCGCATGGAATACGAAGGGACACACACAATATAAACCTCGAAATTTCCGAAATATTGAATGTGCAGGCTTGAAACAATGGGCGAATTTAATTTTCACGAGGACGTACAATCTTCTTTTGAATGGAAATTCAATTTAAAGCTAGTTCTATTCATTTTGTTATAAAACAGATAGAGTGCAAACATCCATTGTAGAAGCATCTAGCGACAAAAAATGTTCATCAAGGTGAGAATATTGTTCCTACAATCGGGGACATTATTTTGAGATTGAGAATTCGAGGCAATTTTTATCGAGTGGCAGTTGTATTCAAATTTCAAAGAAATTCAGGTAACTTATTCAATTAACTAAAAGTTCTGCGTAATTTGTTACTGAATATTGATATTCTATTAAAAACTAACTAAGTTGGGACTTTTTTATTATTATTCGCACGGATTCTCCCTAAAACTTGGAACTGAACGTGTTCGGTAAAATTTCAGTTCCATTCGTCCCCATGATCTTGACACACACATGTAAACCTCGCAATTCCTGAAATTGTGAATGAGCCGGCTTGAAGCAATGGGCGAATTTAATTTTCACGAGGACGTACAATCTTCTTTTGAATGGAAATTCAATTTAAAGCTTGTCCTATTCATTTTGTTACGAAATAGATGGAGTGCCAACATCCATTGTAGATGCATCTAGCGACAAAAAATACTCATCAAGGTTAGAATATTGTTCCTACAATCGGGGACTTTATTTTGAGTTTGAGAATTCGATGAAATTATTATCATGTGACAGATCTATTCAGATTTCCAAGAATTTCGTCGGCGACACTTTGAATTCACTAGTGAATTCACTATTCAATTTGACCAATAAATAGAATCTATACATTTCGCTTCAATTATTCCCGTTAAGTTACAAGAAATCAAAGAGACTCAGATAAATAATTAAACAAGTTAAAAGTTCAGCGTAATTTGGTATTGAATATTCATATTTTGAATGAAAATTCAGGTAATTTGGTTCTGAATATTGATATCCTACTAAAAACTAAGTAAGTTATGACTTCTTTCTTATTTTTACCGAAACCTTATAAATTCGCATAAAAATTTAATATCCATTGTTCACTAAATCGAACTAAATGTCACTCTGTTACGAAAATCTCTGTCAGACATTCATGAAATTTCAAATTCTTCATAAAAAAAATAATT